TATAAACTGGTTTATGTTTGATCCTGTTAGGTAAACAAAACTTATGTCTGATGATCAGTAGGTATAAACTGGTTTATGTTTGATCCTGTTAGGTAAACAAAACTTATGTCTGATGATCAGTAGGTATAAACTGTTTATGTTTGATCCTGTTAGGTAAACAAAACCTATGTCTGATGATCAGTAGGTATAAACTGGTTATGTTTGATCCTGTTAGGTAAGTAAAACCTTATATCTGATGATCAGTAGTTATAAACTGGTTATGTTTGATCCTGTTAGGTAAGCAAAACCTAATATCTGATGATCAGTAGGTATAAACTGGTTATGTTTGATCCTGTTAGGTAAGCAAAACCTTATGTCTGATGATCAGTAGGTATAAACTGGTTTATGTTTGATCCTGTTAGGTAAACAAAACCTTATGTCTGATGATCAGTAGGTATAAACTGGTTATGTTTGATCGTGTTAGGTAAGCAAAACCTTATGGCTGATGACTGGTGAACATATACTGATCTAGGTTTAGTTCTGTTAAAACCTTAAGTCATCAGTGCAAGTATAAAGGCTTAGGTTTGGTCTTGTGAGATAAAACAAAATGGCAGCTGACAACAGAAAACTTACAGACACAGGTGCAGGACTATGTCCTTGAAACTGAGTGGGACCAGACTGCTGTGACATCTGAGTTGGGTACTGAGTAGTTGAAGGGCTTTGCTGATGGGCCTATAAACACAAGCAACCCTTCAAAATACACATTTTGATATTGAAAAATGGATGGAATTACATTTTTCACATCCTCAGAAATCACTAAACTAACACTAGAGGTTAAATTTCATCTAAAATGTTACAAACAGCATTGGTAGCAATACTAACTAATGAATTTCTGTATTTTTTATATTAAATATATTAATGTTCTCATAACTACTGAAAAAACAGAGACAGTCTAACATCATGACAGACAGAAAAGCCCAAGACAGTAAGATAAAAGTGTTAATATTACAAAAACTTTGTAATAAGTAAAAAAAACCCTGATTTTAAACTAAAACACAGAAAATCACCTGCATACCAGAAGTTTCAATAATGCAGTAGTAAGAAGTGGTCTGTGTGTATGTATCTCAGTTCATGATTAGATTTGGTTCTCATTGTTGTTAAGCACAAAACTACATGGTGGGCTAAATGTGCTCTGCCCACCATGGGTACCAAAACCAACTTTCTGAGTTGTGGGCTACAAATTTACCACTGAGCCACTAGGGGCTGATGATATAAAGTTAAGTCACTGTGCATGTTTATACAGTGTCTGTTCTTTTTTTTTAATTAATTACTAATTTGCCTCAAAAATGCTAGCTTATTAACCAGCTGCCAGTGTTATGAGACTTATCTTACTTTGATTTACAATATTTTTCTTATTTAATTTGAAATCACTCAGTAACCAAAAACTTCACAAGTCTTTTAAAATTGACTATATTTACAAACTAAAGAAAGTAGACACCCAAAACTTCCTTTTTCATATAAATTTCATTTTATCAGGGACGAATACTTATGAATTATAATAAATATGATATTTTTATGAAAAGAGAGCTCAGATTCAAGGTGAAGTACCGAGAAAATCATTCAACATTTAACGCAAAACCAAAACAAAATTTATCAGACGAAACATTGGAGAAATGTGATTTAAGTACGTGTTTCACACCACCAGATGTCTTTATGCATAAGTAACATTCACAATGAAATCTTCCTCTACAGCACCAGAATAAGTTTCAGCAACACTTGCTACTATGGTAGTTGATAAGATGGGTGTGTTTCTAGAATCAACTCTCCAATCTCTCAAAAAAACTTGATTTGTTTTGTTTTTTTCCAAAATGTTGAGCAGGATTATAGATCAGAGAAGCTAAATTTATTTTCCTACTTTATAAAAGTAGTACAAGAATGAAAAAAATAAAGTATTAAAAACACTAAACAGAGCAGAGAATATGAAGTCTAATACATTAAAATTGATTAATCACAGGAATAAATTGCATCTAACTAACAAAGTTACAGCTTGAGCTTTTCACAAACGAATTACAATTCTTAGTGTATGCTATTTTGCACAGGTTCCAAAATCAGACTGTTTTAAGTTAAAGCTTTTTTAATACTGGGTTCGAGGCATCTCAAAGATTATGTTTCAACTATAGCCATTTTACATTTCTATGACTGAAAGACACACGAAATGTAGGAATTATGATAACATACCTGTGTTGACTGAGCCTGTTGTACGTAGGAATTATGATAACATACCTGTGTTGACTGAGCCTGTTGTACGTAGGAATTATGATAACATACCTGTGTTGACTGAGCCTGTTGTATGTAGGAATTATGATAACATGCCTGTGTTGACTGAGCCTGTTGTATGTAGGAATTATGAAATCATTTGTTTCTGATAACATACCTGTGCTGACTGAGCCTGTTGTATGTAGGAATTATGAAATCATTTGTTTCTGATAACATACCTGTGCTGACTGAGCCTGTTGTACGTAGGAATTATGATAACATACCTGTGTTGACTGAGCCTGTTGTATGTAGGAATTATGAAATCACTTGTTTCTGATAACATACCTGTGCTGACTGAGCCTGTTGTATGTAGGAATTATGAAATCATTTGTTTCTGATAACATACCTGTGCTGACTGAGCCTGTTGTACGTTGTAATTATGAAATCACTCATGTTGTTTATGATAACATACCTGTGCTGACTGAGCTTGTTGTTGCTGTTGCTGTTGGCGTAATTTTTGCAGATGCAGTTGCATGTTGGGATTTAATAATGGTCTTTGATTTTGCTGTTGACTGGTCATCAAGTTCCCTAGTGGCCCTGAAAGAGATGAGAGTCTTGTAAAACATTATCAACAAATACAAATTTTACTAATAATAATGGAATGAGGACCAGTATCAAAGTCGTGATACTCACTGTACAGGTATAATTGTTTACAAGACCTGCTAAAGCAACAATCGTATAATAATATGACGGTAATAGTAAAACAAAACTTCTTATAGTTTATCATCTGTATATTCTGACATACAGCTAAAAACTTTTACGGTACATTAAAACAAACTATGTTGGCTTGACTATACTTCTATATAACAAGTGAGCTTGTATTTTCTTCGCCTACATCGGCCTGACTATACTTCTAAATAACAAGTAAGCTTGTATTTTCTTCTCCTACATCGTCCTGACTATACTTCTAAATAACAGGTGAGCTCGCATTTTCTTCTCCTACATCGTCCTGACTATACTTCTAAGTAGCAAGTAAGCTCGTATTTTCTTCTCCTACATCATCCTGACTATACTTCTAAATAGCATGTAAGCTTGTATTTCTTTCTCCTACATCGTCCTGACTATACTTCTAAATAACAAGTATGCTCATGTTTTCTTCTCTTACATCGGCCTGACTATATTTCTAAATAACAGGTGAGCTCGCATTTTCTTCTCCTACATCGTCCTGACTATACTTCTAAATAACAAGTATGCTCATGTTTTCTTCTCCTACATCGTCCTGACTATACTTCTAAATAACAAGTGAGCTCGCATTTTCTTCTCCTACATCGTCCTGACTATACTTCTAAATAGCATGTAAGCTCATGTTTTCTTCTCCTACATCGTCCTGACTATACTTCTAAATAAAATGCAAGCTCATGTTTCTTCTGTATCGAAACATCTATTAAATTAAATCTGAAACAATAAAGCATTTGTTACCAGCAAGCTTAGATCAGTAACTCAGGGGACAATTTAACTCCACAGGTTTCAGTAAGAAAAGTAAAAACAAATTATCTATTTAATCTAACAAAAGATAACCAGACCTTGAAATATGCTTGAAGATTTAAACATTTAACTTACATCGACCACTAGGTGTCACAACCATAGGATTTAGCCCTTGCTGTGGAATTGAGTTGGCAACCACATTGGGAGCAGAACTTCCAACCAGTCCTGGCTGAGACATTGCAAGTTGTGGTTGAGACTGTCCACTTCCTGCTCCTCCTAGTACTTGTATTCCTAACTGGGTAACCTGAGGTTGGTTTGGACCACTCCCTGGACCTGCCAAAGTTTTTAAAGCCAACATAGGATCTTGGCCACCAGGACCTCCAGCCCCAGTAGGCATGGCTTGGCCAGGTTGTAGTCCTTTCTGTGCTGCTTTTTTTGGATCTAAACACAAGTGACAAAAACAATGACTTTACCTCTGTTTTTTAGCACACAACTATGGTGTTTTTAGTGATATACACATGCAAAAATTTATCATTTAACTGTTTCTTTTTTCTGTTGATTTAAAATCATGCAATGCAGTTCTCTGTAAATTTATAAAACCCTTTTGAATCATTTAAACATTTTTCAGCAGCTTTACAAGTGATAGAGTACTTACTCATATCTCGAACATGAAGCATCACACGGGCTACATACTCCAAGTATTCTTCCTGTAAAAACACGTTCTATTATAGAAAATAACACTAACCTGTATTTAACTTTCATCCTATGTTTCTATAGTACAGACAAAAGATGGGGAATAAAACATTCATGTTAGCAAAACGAATTGCAGTAAAAGAAAATAAGACAATAGTTAATGTAACAAAGTAAAATAGAAACTATATCTTGACCTGCTCTTGTAGATTTGAATCTTTAGAATATTTATTAAAAAAAAGTTTCAATCTTGAGCCTCTAAAATATTTTAAAATTCAATCAAATTAAGGCTAAAATGAGAATTTTCTTAAAACAAATTTGGGGTCTTAAAACACTTGGTTTCATTTGTACAAAGGAATAATCCAAAGTCATAGTTTTAGTTTAATTTTACCACAAACATTGAAGTTGTGCAATAACTTTAAACATTTCATATTACATAAAAAATTACATGAAAATTTTTGTTGGATTATTTGTGAAAAGTTTAAAGAATATCTGAAAAAAATTAATAGGGTAAATACAATGAAAACTTTCTATTAGTAATATAACAACATTTTTATATAGAGAGAAATCTTACAGTTCCTTCAATACCTATTAGTCTCCATGAACAAAAATTGAACAAGGTTTTACATCCATTTTTCCATCTGTGACTAAAAGAAACTGCAAATGTCCAAACCATTCTTGACTTTCATTCAAATTAGCATACTTGCCTTCCTCATACAAACATACAACAAATAATGTACTTTTGGTACTTTATTCTTTTAATAATGGCATTTAAGCTGACACAAAATAAATTACTTACAACCTAATATACTGTTTCACCAACACTAGAAAAAAGCAGTTCATAGGCTACTACTTGTCATCTTCTGGTGTTGGTGCATTGTCAGTGTGAACTTGTAGTGTATGAATTTTCATCTTCTGGTGTTGGTGCATTATCAGTGTGAACTTGTAGTAGTGTATGAACTACCATCTTTTGGTGCTGGTGAATCATCAGTGTGAACTGCTGTTTTCTGACATTAATGAATTATGAGTGTGAACTTGTAGTAATGTATGAACTGTCATCTTCTGGTGTTGGTGAATGATCAATGTATACTTGTAATAGTGTAAAAACTGATTTTGATGAATTATGAGTGTGAACTTGTAGTAGTGTAAAAACTGATTTTGATGAATTATGAGTGTGAGCTTGTAGTAGTGTAAAAACTGATTTTGATGAATTATGAGTGTGAACTTATAGTAGTGTAAAAACTGGTTTTGATGAATTATGAGTGTGAACTTTTCATACACTACTACAAGTTCACACTGACAATGCACCAACACCAAAAGATGACAGTTCATACACTACTACAAGTTCACACTGACAATGCATCAACACCAGAAGATAACTGTTCATACACTACTACAAGTTCACACTGACAATGCATCAACACCAGAAGATGACAATTCATGCACTACTACAAGTTCACACCGACAATGCACCAACACCAGAAGATAACTGTTCATACACTACTACAAGTTCACACTGACAATGCATCAACACCAGAAGATGGCAGTTTGTAGACGACTAAAAAATCAGAACTTAACTTACTCTAGTATTTGCTTTTTGAAAAATGTGATTTTCCAACTCCACCACACTTTTATTTGTAGGGTTTCCTGCTTGTTGCACTGCATCTTCACTAAAGAAAGTAAATAAACAGTTGCAAAAAAAATGTCAATTCATACGGTATTTGAAGGTTTGATTATAAGATAACTTCAAAACTACATATGAATATACAGGTTGGGTTGTACACATAGTGGACCCAACATTGGAAGTCCTCTACACATTGTCTAGAGCATTTTTCAAAATATCTCAGGCTTTTAACATTAAAATGTGAATGTGTTTGATTATTCTGAAAACTGTTATCAATCAGTAGCTTTCAAGTCATTTCAAGTGTTTTTTTAATTTGTCACACACCAGAGTCATTCGTCATAAGGCAGCACAAGGAATATTGTTATTGTTAAAATATCATATAAACTTCAAGTAAACATCTTAGGAAATATGGGACTGCTTATGAAAACTGTATATCCATATATATATTTTAATGTTACAATTTTAGTTCAATAAGAGATAATGTCAGCACCTTACTGCAGAAATGTACAAGGCTCATTGTTTTTATCAGATTCTCCATGATGAATAACAAAAATTCAAGATTTCTATTATTAACTCATTAAAACGTGTAAACAAATTTTTCAAATAAAAATTACCATTCACAGTTTTCTGAATTCTGTTAGTATACTGTAGGCTACTAGTGAAAGGCTGAATTTAATGTTTGAAAACATTTGAGCTAAAATATTTTTAAATATTCTAAACATTGTCACACAAGTTCTGGATTTTACACAGCTGTGTAATTAAGACTTACCTTTTTATGCTTCTTGTTCTCTTTTATAAAAACTTATTTTTGTTCAAATATATTACTGTCATACTGCCTTTGTGTAATGTTGAAATACATTTTAAATCCATTACTTTTATTTAACTACATTTTACTGCGTGTATTTTAATTTATTTGCTTAACTTCAGTTTACAGCATGTTAGACATCAACAGTCTTATTCCAGTTTTAATCAGTTATTGCTGGATTTGGCAGATGTAGTTTAGTTGATATATAATAACATGTTCTCTTTTGCTTTTACTTATGGGTTCTTAGAATTAATCTCATTAAAACCTCATAAAAGTAACACGCTTTCCCAAACTTGTGGTATCAGTGACAGTCCAACAAAACTGGCGAGTTCTAGTTAATTGTAAGCAGCTCAACTGAAGATAAAGCTGGAAACTGGTCAAAAACTGGGAAAATGCCTAAAAACTTACCTTAGCTAAGCTAACTAAAGACTTCATTCAACAGAAATTAGGTAAAGAAACACAAGTGTTTATTTGAATGTTACTCAGATATTAGAAACTATATCATTATCTTACTGTATGTCAGTGAACTACGAGTATAACAGAAACTTCCAGATATTCAATATTTTAATAATGAAAACTGTACATCAGTCTTTGAAAAATTTTCACTTATTACGAAATGCTGGAAAATTCCACAGAGTTATACTGCTGGAACTACTAAACCAGACATATTTTCCTAACTTTTTTAATGTAATTATATGAAAATAACTTAATTTAATTGCAATAATCAAACTAGGAGATGAACCTGATTCTAGCTTAGCACTTGGCTTTGTAGTTTGTTGCGGACTAAGTTCGTTCGAGATACAGGTAGCAGTACATTCTATTCATCAAAATTTTAAAATATCGTTACAAACTAATTTTCTGTAGACAAAATAACTTAACTGTAAGTAAATAATCATGTAAACTTAGACACATACATTCTGGCTCTGACATTTTGTCTATATGAATCATTTCTCCACGACTGATCTTGACTACTGTCTGCCATTCCAACTGTAAATTTGCTACTAATGCGCTCTCTATAGCAGTGATTCAAACAGTAATAATCAATGAAAAGTTTTATTTAAAAAATAATAATAATTACCACAAATGATTTCTATCGTGATTGATTGCGCATTATTCAGTAAATAACAACCATAAACATTGTATAAAAATTCAAATTTTTAAACAAACAAAACAAAATTTCTTACTTGCTTATATGTGCACCCGAGGATGTATTCCGGTATCCTAAAAATCGTATTGTTTGTTTTAAGTGCAAAGCTGCACATGCTTTCTGCGTTATAATCGTTACAGGGATCGAGCAGGAAATTTTAGAGTTTTAATCTTTCAAGCTCAAATTTTGGGTGTAAGCTAGTGTCTATAAGTACAATGTTTTAGACTTTTTGGCATAAATAAACACACAATAACAAGGTATTGCTTTATAAGTAAAGAATGGAATGATTTCTAAATTCAGGTTTGCGTATTACAACAAAATATTGTTACGCCTCTAGTCGTTTGTTAATTTTCCGTAAAAATTCTTTCCGAAGAAACTTTAGCGATACAAGTCCTTTCTTAACTAAAACTAGTTTATTCTTTCCCAATACAACTTTGCAACACACTTAATTTCCATAGTCACGCTATAACTTAAACAAACGCTATAATTCACAAAGAACGAACGATTCACGCGCTTGAACTAAATTGTTGTCTCTATCTCTGTCTGCAATTCAATTACATTGTTGCCGTCACTTCTTGGCGGTCTTATATACAAGAATACCGCACATCTAGTAAACACTCGAAGCTTGACGAACGGACATGAATTTTCTGGAAGCTCATGATGTGTTACTAGCGTCACATGACTTCCGCTGTCGTAACAATATAATATTTCATATATGGTCTCACTATTAGTCATTTTATTTTTAAACCATCAAACACTTTATAGAAATACTCCAAGCAAGTAGTCGCGAAGGGTGAGATAGTCCAAACACCTGACGCAGAAATCTGTAAGATTTTGAGCTTTTGAAGAATAAAAACAAACGGTCATAAACAGCTCTTTCACATCTAATCCCAAGGCAGTTGGATTTTTTTTTATCCCAGTCTCAGCATAGGATTTATAGATCCTAGCCTCTCTGTCCGTGATCACAGGCTATTTGTTTCATGGTACTTTGCCGATTGTGTGTCGTCTTGCTTCTCTTCATCGTGTACAGGACTTCGGCTACCGTTTCAGCTTTGTCTCTACCTCTGGACCTCATATTTGCAATTCCTCTCTCGCGCTCAAACGCATTTTAAACGCTCCCATTATAGCTTATTAACCAAACACTCAACAATCTAAGTCAAATATGTTTATAGAATAAATAAACCAATTATTGTGAGCGCAGCAAAGGGGGGGGGGTATACATATCACTGAACACTCAATTTTGGAAAAACTTAAAACTAAATCCCTGTCCCGGTTTTATAAAAGCTCTTGTCGATAAGTCTATCACATTGCTTCATTTATCTATTTCTCAGAGTATCCTGTATAAAAAGTACCACGACATTAGGAAAAACATTTCTGATGGCTTTCCGCTAACTTTAATTTAAACCTTGTTCTTTCTTGTCTTGATGAGTTCTTACATATTGGGTATTTTTATTATCTAGCCTTTTCAAGCGTTTTCTCATTAATCTTCTTTCTACGCAACCGTTTTGTAAGGGAATAAGCTACTGGAGGATTCAAAGGGTGTTGTTGAGCATCAGTTCCTTCACTGCTTGTTCTGGGAGATGGTTCCTCAGAAGAAACCTTAGCATAGGTGTGCATCCAAGATTACCTTAAGTAGAGATAAAGTTGGTTTTTATAGCCAATTACTGAAGAGAACATTTTACCCTAAGAATAAAACTATATGAACAATATTGTGAAAGCTTTGAATTGAAAATCAGATAATATTTTTCCCACCTGCAACAGCTATCAAAACTTCATAAAATTTTGCAAGTTTGACAATGATGAATCTTGCATTTGTAATCAGTCAGTTTTAGCAATACATGTTCACTAAAAATAAACATAATATTCCTCTTCAGGCTGAGGTTCTTCTAATTTATTCTCCACTGGAGGCTTCCCCTTTGATTTCACGCTGTGTCGATGAGTGGAAATATTGATAGCACATAATTTTTCAAGTATCGTGAAGCTGCTTCTTGAATTAAAACAGTATATTTACGATTTAACTGACACTGTATAAAATTTTTGAAGCAGTTGATTGTTTAATATATTTGCACTGACCTATCATTCTATTCCTTATATAATGTTTTCACTTATTTTACTACGAGATCTACACTTTGATCAACGTGTGTAAATTTGGCTATACTAATTTCGAAGAATTCCATTCCTCATCAGTAACTCTGAACACAAGTTAATCAAAGAGAGATAAGCTGGATCTATGTCATAGTGAAAAATATCAAACATATTGTTGGTATGAACGTACTTTATAGTCACTGTGAGAAAAACCTACGCACAGGATAGATGAAGTGAAGAAAGAGTGTCATTGGCCACTATTCAGTTTTTCATGAATTTTAATATCGGAACAAAACGGAGAGACAAAAATATTATCTTCTTACTTTACTAGCAGAGACCCGCAAAACATTTGAAGTCAAATTAGTATCTTTATTGCAACAGTACAACTTTAAATACAAGATTTATAGAACAATAGAACAAAATAATTTTAATCACAGACACCGAAATATGCAAGTCCATTTGTCTTAGGCCTTACATTAGTTAAGCCTTTATTAAGTACGGCCTATATTCGATAAAGAGATAAATTAACACTGTAACTTTATCAGATATAAAAGACTGTTTAGTGTAGGTAGTATTAATTTATTTATTTTGTGAGTTAATATTTTAGGATCGTTTAGTTGTTTTCATAATAAGAGAGTTAAAAGCAGACGATTATTGGAAGTTGTGTTTGTAAGTTATTGATGTCGAGATTTCTAGAACCCCTTAGTGAGAGATATAAATAGCCAAAAGTAAAGACAAGTGTGTTTCGGTCAGAGAAAGGTTAGGAAACGTAAGGTTAACCGTAGTAGGAGTGAATATTAAAGTGAGATTAACAGTTTCGGACATTTCAGGAGAATAATTTTGTTTCGTCAGAGGGTGTTATAGAGCAATTTAAAATACTCGTGTGGACTTTGACAAAAGCAGACGATTATTTAGAGGTAGACCTATATGCGAAAAGGCAGACAAGTATCGAAAGTTAAGAATACAACGGCGGTAACTTACGAGCCAGCGTAAGTGAATTACACAGCGATACTAATTTGATGAAAATAGAGAAAAATAGTTCGGCTTGTGAACTGAATTCTAAAGCAATTGAATTTGCCTAAGTGGACTTTTGACAAGAAGAAGAGAACTGGATAGTATTTAAGATACAACTATGATATACATAGTGTAAAGAATTTTTGTACAAACGTTTAACTTGTTTTGAATATATTACTGAAAAACAAGTGTTCGTTTATTATCTAATTTATCTCCAACAAATCACAGACACCTACTGTAGAAGAATCCTTAGCTCAACATACCCATACAAATACATATACTTATTTTAATATATATACTATTTAAAAAGTAAGTTACCTGGCATACTTGTGTACGTTTAATGCTTTAATTTAGTGAGGGCTAAACTTTACCGTACTTAATACTATCTATATTATAATATTCAATGTCTATGTGTCACATAATTTCTTCTAAACCGCTGGTCGCATGGACTTCTAAGTGGTACTAAACGAATCGTCTCGGTCCTGTGGTTTGCACAAAAGTAAAACTTTCCCCGACCCCTTAGAAACCCGGGTATTTCGAGGACACCAAATTTGGCATTGATTTACATTAGCGCACGTAAACAAATAGGCCCACTAATTAACGTTCGTAACTTGTTTAAAAAAGTTAAACTTGCATTATAGCGGCAATGATCATTAAACTGAAAAAGTACAGAATAGTAGTTCAAGCATTAAATTTGCATCATAGCGGCCCTGTAAATGTTGGCTCGCAAGTCAATAAATAAACTTATAATGTTATTGTAAGACCTAACGTTAGACCTTTTTGATTAGCTTTTAATATTTTGTTGTACAAAATGTCTACTAAAGTATATTTACATCCGTTGAAATAAGTGCGTGCGCATGCGTTAGATAATAAGGTGCGGGCACATTTTCAGGACAACTGAGTATTATTATAACAAATGAAAGTTTATTTGTGAAAACAGCTATTTTGAGGTATTTGCTTTAACTTATAGATGAATTGGTGCATTAATGATCTTGAATAATGAGAGTATAAATAACTATACTATTACCATATATCCTGCTAAATGGGAAATTAATGATAAAGAGATTTCTGATACACAAACACACATAAAAAACATTCCGATTCAAACAACTATTTTTATTACATATGTTTTCTTCCCACTTTATGGACATCGTTCTTTCTTTACCCTTGAGATGTTCCTACCATACCCTAGAGCAAGGGTAAGAAAGATCTAGCCCGTCTAACCTTTCTGTTTTGCCCGCCAATTGTGGAAAGAACATAATGTGGTGTTTATATAATCGATGTTAATGTAATTTAATTAATATAGTAGAAATGTGCGGCCCGAGACAACTTACCAAAATTCGTGGAGTGGCCCCTTTGCGAAAATTATTGCCATAGAAATATTTTTCCCACTTGGCTTTAGAAATGTTGCTCCTACTTGACTCTAAAAATATTGTTCTTACTTGATCTTACAAATATTGTTCTTACTTGACTTTAAAAATATTGTTCTTACTTGACTCTAAAAATATTGTTCTTACTTGATCTTACAAATATTGTTCTTACTTGACTTTAAAAATATTGTTCTTACTTGATCTTACAAATATTGTTCTTACTTGATCTTACATATATTGTTCTTACTTGATCTTACAAATAGTGTTCTTACTTGATCTTACAAATATTGTTCTTACTTGATCTTACAAATATTGTTCTTACTTGATCTTACAAATATTGTTCTTACTTGATCTTACAAATATTGTTCCTATTTTACTCTAGATACATTACACCTTTTCTTGTCACTATAAATATTGTTCCTACTTAAACCTAGAGATATTAATCCTACCTTATCCTACAGATACTGATCCTACTTTATACTACAGATACTGATCCTACCTTACCCTACAGATACTGATCCTACTTTATACTATAGATACTGATCCTACCTTATCCTACAGATACTGATCCTACCTTACCCTACAGATACTGATCCTACCTTACCCTACAGATACTGATCCTACCTTATCCTACAGATACTGATCCTACTTTATACTACAGATACTGATCCTACCTTATACTACAGATACTGATCCTACCTTATACTACAGATACTGATCCTACCTTATACTACAGATACTGATCCTACTTTATACTACAGATACTGATCCTACCTTATCCTACAGATACTTGATTCTACCTTACCCTACAGATACTGATCCTACCTTATCCTAGAGATACTGATCCTACCTTACCCTACATATATTGATCCTACCTTACCATACAGATACTGATCCTACCTTATTCTACAGATACTGATCCTACCTTATACTACAGATACTGATCCTACTTTAGCCTACATATATTAATTCTACCTTACTCTACAGATATTAATTCTACCTTACCCCACAGATACTGAGCGTACCTTACCCTACATATATTAATCCTACCCTACCCCACAGATACTGGTCCTACCTTACCCTACAGATACTGATCGTACCTTATCCTACAGATACTGATCATACTTTAACCTACATATATTAATCCTACCTTACCCTACAGATATTGATACTACCTTACCCTACAGATATTAATCCTACCTTTGCTTATACACGGTTATACTGATGTTACTTTGTTGACAGAATATTAAGCATATGACAGTGCTTGAAGTCATCAGCTAGTGACTGTGTGTTCGTCGTGAGCAAGGTATATTCTATTATTTCTTTAATGCTACTTTCATTGACGGAATTGATCAGAATGTTTAATACATCTAATTTAATTATCTTATATTTTAATTTCTATTAATATACTTTTATTGTAAAGATTACTTTTCGTTATTAGCTTAGTATATGAAATTGGGACTAGCCTAGTTATTCTAAGTCGGCCAAATCTCGTGAGATATTATTGGATTTACGGCCGAAAACATCATTAATAGCGAGGTTATCCAACTGATAAACAATGTGTATTCCACTCTTTTATAAGTAATAATGCAATAAAACTATATATATATACTTTGCTATATCCATTACGACGTTGACCTTTATGGAGTTTGCTTTGATCAGAAGTTACTATTCGTGAAATATCACGAAGCAGATGGCAAGTATATAAGATACAATATGTATATTTTATTCAACAGGAAATCAACACAAGATAGTAGTTCTTGACACTGTTTATTGTATGTACACTGATTCAGTAATTTTACACTGCCATCTTAGAAACTGGACTTTCATGACGTGGCGGTTTAAGTGCATGTTTTTGTTGACCGACAACAGCCGTTAAAAGTCAGGAAATACTGAAAATAGTTCTGATCTAATTTTCTTTTAAAATTTAAATAACCAACTTAAAGAACATTTTTTACAGATATTAAACATGAATGTCATATTCTTTCTCTGTTTTCTTTGACGATTTTTCAGATTAACTGGTCGTCACGGTAAACTGCATTGTCCATCGAGAAGTGATTTAGTTCTGGAGCCACGTGTCTTGGACTTTTCTGCCCACCAGCACACCTTAAAGAGAAATTTAACCTTAAATAAGTGACCTCACTATTCTCCTTGGAAACATTTGCTGTAAAATAGGTTTTATATAAATAAACGTCAAGGTTATATTTTAACAAACAGTTTTTAATAAATATTAGAACCTTGGTTTAATAAAGTTGATCTTATGTAAATAAACGTCAAGGTTATATTTTAACAAACAGATTTTAATAAATATTAGAACCTTGTTTAATAAAGTTGATATTATATAAATAAACGTCAAGGTTATATTTTAACAAACAGATTTTAATAGATATTAGAACCTTGGTTTAATAAAGTTGATATTATATAAATAAACGTCAAGGTTATATTTTAACAAACACATTTTAATAAATATTAGAACCTTGGTTTAATAAAGTTGATCTTATATAAATAAACGTTAAGGTTAAATGATCACAAATCATGTTTCAACAAACCTACAGTGCTGGTCGTTACGCGACATTGAAGTATTTTTTTACTGTTTTCACTCGGTCATATAGGGATATTTTATCACCCTGAACGTATCAAAGTATTTTAAAAAACCTTCCAGCTGTTACATGACAATATTATATCATCTTATTCTTACTGCATCATGATTTCTTTTTGTTGCTAAGGGACCTTCAACCTGTCTCCTAGCAACAAACATTCAGTTCTTTGGTTAAATATATGATAAAATACTACATCACCATAATTGTAGAACATGGATTATTTGTTGCTAAGAGATCTTCAACCTGTCTCCTAGCAACAAACATTCAGTTATTTGGTTAAATATATGATAAAATACTACATCATCATAATTGTAGAACATGGATGTTTTGTTGCTAAGAGATCTTCAACCTGTCTATCTTAACACAACATTCACTACTTGTTTAATATATTGATAAAATCTAAATCTATCATTATCGTAAAACACTAGGACTTGTTTGTAGTCGTTACGAGAGTA